GGCCGGAGCACTTGGCGGCCTCTCCTCTGTGGAAGCCCCTAGACACGCAGCACTTCCTCCCAATGCTTTCTCCCAGATTCTTCTGGGGAGACCACGTCTCCCTGCGGATGAGGGGCATCCAGGGGAAAGCAGAGTCATCATCCCCAGAGCAGGAGCCCGAGGGACAGCTCCCCAGTTGAGCACAAGCTCTGCATGCAGAACCCTAGGTTCAGACGCTGGCACCTCCTGGTCCCCAAAGGCACAGCTCAGGGTTAGCGAGCAGCTCCAAGACACCACAGTTGTGGCCAGAAACCAGAAAAAAACAGGTCAACCGGAAAAGCCCAGGTCAACCCCAGGTCAACGGGCAGACTGGATTCCTGTTCTGGACCACGCCCTCTGCAGAGCCCAAAGTGATTCTTACCCTGTCCAAGCTTCTGGCTGTGAGGGCAGGGTGCATGCCAGGAGCACCCATCTGACACTCCACTCCATGAGCCACGGGAGGGGCTGTCCAGATACAGATGCAGCCCACACCTGACAAACAGGAAGTGAGCCCAGAGATAGGTGGGGCACTTGCTTTGCACGTGGTCGACCCAGGTTCGATCCCTGGTACCACACAGAGTGCCTGGCAGGACTGATCCCTGAATAGAGCCAGGAATCAGCCCTGAGCACCCCCAGGTGTAGCCCAACACGCCCCCTCCCCCAAGAAGAGAAAAAGGGAGTCCAAGGTTGGGGGTGGAGTGGGGGTACACACCCGGGGGAGTCCGTCCTGAGGGGATGTCCAAGGAATGGATGGGCAGCACAGACCGAGGAGGTCGGGCCTTAGGCCAGCAGGAGCAGGAGCGAGAGTGATGCAGGTTACAGCCCAGACCTCTCACCAGCACCACCTGCCACAGACACCCCATCATCCCCAGGCCCTCCCCGGGGCCCAGTGCCAACACAAAGACACCCGTAGCTCCCACACAGTCATCCTGATCGGCCAGACAACAAGCTGATGCACCTCATTCAGTTTTGATGCCTGGGATCACAAACTCGGTCCTCCAGAATAGTTATTGGGGAATTTTCCTTTGTAAACAAGAGAGCTCAAGGTTAGCTTAAGACCGTGATACAGGCTCAAGCACAGGAAGCCCTGGGCACGGAACTGCTCAGGGCTAGGGCCTATCTTATCTCTTCCAAGATGCCAGGAACAGCTGGGCTGGGGCAGTTCCCTTTCCTGCCATCCCTCTCCCTTGGCACAGAATCAGGGTATGCAAATGCCAGGCCTGCAAATGGGCCATGCGCAGCCGCTGCACCCACAGAAGGGACCCAGGTCAGGGCCCCGTGACCTGGAACTTGAAACTGGGAGCTCGGTGTGTGCAGGCTGCAGAGACCAGCACGCAGCTCCAGGGACGGTGACGAGGGAGCAAAGCGGGTGCTGCCCAGCTCTCTGGAGACACTCGTGAAGGAAAGACCAAGGACAAGTGACAATACTGGTGCAACACACAGGACTGCCTCCCTCGGGAGTTCTGGGGCACTCAGCCATCCATGATGGGGAGGGACGGCACTGACCCCAGGGTGTGATTAAGCACCCCCTCCCATGAACAGGACCCACTGATACTGAGGGTGACCGATTGGAATGTCAACGCAGTCAAGGGGCATGAATTAAGGCGGGGAGAGGAGGGCTTTAGGGGGGAAGTAGATGACCCCCAGAGGAGGAACAGCAAAGGGGGCACCAGGTGAGAAGATAATCGTCAGGGAAAGGCCGGCACTGGAGGATGACAGGTAGAGGTCTTCAGGGCACCTGAGGGGATACAGGTGGGCTAGTCCCCGGCAGGTGCTCAGGGTGTGATGCCGAGAGCACCCAGTGGGTGCCAGGAGCCAAGCAGGGGCCTGGCAAGGGGCCTGGGGGCAGGTGCCAGGTAGGACCTGGGCTGGCTCCTTCCTGGATGGGAAGGGGCATCCATCAGGGCAGTCTTGAGGGGGGGATCACGCTGCCCAGGGTGGGCTTTGGCACACACATGTACGCTCCAGAGAGCTCAGAGACGGAGACACGGATGGAGAACAAAGGGGAAAACCCAACTGGCCCCTCTGCATCGCCCCACCCTTCACAACACCATCTCCACATCTGCAAGTGTGATCTCCACAGACAGGATCCCTGGCACGCTGCGAGCTCCAGGAGCACCCTGGGTGTGAAGGGAGGAGGGGCTGGGCTAAGGGGTTCACGGGTAGCAGACAGCGGCAGAAAAATCAGAGTGAAAGCTGGGGGTTAGGGGGACGCCCCAGTGCTACCCTCTCCCCAGAGGCCCAAGGAGAGCAGGGCAGGAAACAGCCTCGCACCGCCTGGCAAGGAAAGGGGAGGAGGGGATCTGAGCCAGGAGGCCCTGGGGAGGGAAGTGGGGGCCGGGGGCTGGCGTGATGTGCCCACACGTCTGCAAGCTGTACGGGGGCCAAGCACCGCAGTCTCTGCCCGGGAGGCTGCCAAAAGCCATGGGAGGCAGCCAACAGGCCTGGGGGAGGCCCAACCCAGTTCTGGGTGACCTCCCCGCTGTCCCAGACTTCCGCAGCCGCGACCACTGTCCTCATTTCAATGAGCCCTCCCCCAGCTGTCCCCTCTCTGCAGATGGCCACATGCCCTGAAGGCCACTCCGGGCCAGCCTGCCTTTTCAACATTCCCCTCGGAAGGCTCGATTTTTGCCTTCAGATCCTCCCGACTTCGAAATGCGCCCAGAATCATCTGGCCTAGAACTTTGGTCAGTTCTGCACTTCTGCACATTTCCTTCCCCAGGATCGCCGGGGGCAGGTTTGTCCAAGGTCACCCAGGCCCTGCACTGCCCGGAAGGCCCCACCCCCACCTCACTGTAGGGCCGGAGTCTGTGCACTGACTGCCACTTCCTAGGACGTCAGCGCCTTGGGGACCAGCGCCAAACCCCCGGCGCCTGGCACACAGCTGGCCCTCATAAATAACTGGGGAAACGAGCAACCTCTTTGAGCCCCACTTACAGAGGGCTCATAGCAGTTTTGGCCGCAACTGGGAACAGAAATGCTGCAGGAAATGCGGTCAGCGTGGAGCAAGCGGAGAGAGCCAGGCCTGCCGGCGGATCACACAGACGGCACTGCTGCTCATTAAGCACCTGCCTGGAGGTGGGGGGGAGGGGTCGTCCGTGTGTCCCAGAGCCGGGCCGCACCCCAGCCTGCCCCTCTCCCCCCTCTCCCGGCTGCTCTCCAGCAAGACCACCAAACCACACTATGCTTGCATAACTTTTCCCATTCTGAAAAGTCTTCAAAGAGCTCGCCCCTCCCCGCTCCTGACCACAAACTGCTCCAGTGAATGAGTTTCTAGTATGAGGCAAATCAGAAATGTGTGGGGAAAAGAAGAAAGCCTTCTGACGGGCACAGACGCAAACATCTCCCTCGTCACCGTCACTAACCTCGAGGCTGTGCTGCTCACACATCAAAAGAGACACGAAACACCACTGTCAGATGTGGAGAAGACGGGGGGGGGGGGGGGGGGGGCCCTGGTGCGGGGGTGTGCTGGGATGGCCCGCGGCCAGCCAGCCCAGCTGGCCAGGAATGTGCCCCGGGTACACTGCGACTGGCCAGTCCACTCCTCCAGCCGGGAGAGCAGCGGTCCCAGGAGGTGGGGGCCAAGGCCAGGCCCGCCGACCCAGAGGCCAGGGCCCATGGGAGAAACCCACAGCTGGGCAGAATGCCGTCCACTCCCCACGGCCTGCTCCCTTTCTGACATGATGCCAGTTCCCCATGGCACAGGACAATGAGCACAGATTGGCTTATAGCCATGGAGGGGACCCAGAACCAGTCCCCAGGCCTGGGAGTATGGGGGTCACCAGCCGCTGCACCCCACTCCTAACATCTGTGACTGCACCCTCCCTGGATCCTGTCCCTCCTGCCCCTGAGCCCTCTTGAGGACCCTTGTGGCTGCGCGTAGGCCCACCAGCAGCCTGCTTTATTAGCTGCACCCAAAACCCACCCACCTTGGTGACTTTCTGCTATCAAAGGAACATCCACAGGACACGGTCATCTTTGGGGCCTATTCCCAACTGCTCAGCGCCCTGACACCCCACACCTCCATGTAAAGGGGTGCTGAGGATGCACAGGCACCCATAAGCGCCTGGGGGGTGAGAGGGCAGAGGGGAGCGAGGGGAGCAGTGGCAGAGCTCGGGCACCTGGCACCCCAGGCCACGCAACTCCAGCTGGCAAGCTGGCAAGACTCAGCTGAACAGTTGGGACAGGGGGCCCAGGAGCCCTGAAGACTGACCCTGGGCCAAACAAGCACCCACTGGACCTAGTGTCGGTCACACTCTGAGCGTCCGTTCCTCAGCCCCTCTCCAGCCCTCAGGACACAGTGGGTGGCCCCGGCCCTGCCTTTCTCCCACCCACCACCAGAGGAAGGAAAGCAGTAAGCCCCGTGAGAGCACAGTCTGTACCGAGATGGGAGTCCAGAACAGGGTGTCGCTACCACGGGGCGGCCGACCTCCCAGATGGCTCCAGCCTGAGCCGATGTTCCCGGCTCCGCATCAGCACACCCGAGCACAGGCTGACCCAGGAACCATCAGCTCGGGTCCCCAGGCAGAACCCCAGGTGGAACCTCAGATACCTCACGCTGACCCTCCCGATCCAGAGGTCCCAAGAGTGTCCCCCAGCAAGCTTGGCAGGGAAAGGGCATCCCAGGGACAGACAGCAGAGGCAGGAGGGCAGCGTTTCCCGCCCCCCCCCACTCCCCGGCCCCAGATCCCCAGCCCTCAGGCCCCCACGCCCTAGCTGGTCAGTCTCCTCACGCTGCAGCACAGACCCCACTCACTTGGCAAGGATGCTTCCACTTGGGTACCAGCCTCAAGTTTAAGCACATCTGGGGGGTGGGAATTCACAAGGAATGGGCTTTGGTGGTGGAGCACGGCAGAGCTGTGGGAAGCCCCCCCCCCCCAACAAAGCAAATCAGCTTCCTCAAGTAAAAAGGAGTAGCAGCAGGCAGGCAGCCCTGACTGCACACCGGCTGGCACAGCCCCCAGAGGGTGCCGGGCACTCACCACATTCCAGTAGAGAGGATTGAAAGCGATGGCAAGGACGGCAGCCACAAAGCTGGGGTCAGAGGGGTCTACGTAGGTCAGCAGCTGGCTCATAACGCAGAGGTCTGCCTACAGGGACAGAACCAGGCATCGTCAGGAGACCCATACAGTTCCACCAGGCCTGAAGCAACAGGCCCCCAGAACTCAGACACAAAGTTACCCTCTGGGTACACGGCTTGGGCTCCGCAGCGTCCAACAAAGATTACTGCCGGGCAGTCTCTGAGCCCAAGATAAAAGCCAAACCTACTCAGCTGTGGCGGCCCCTGTGGGGAGGTGGCCAGGCCCATGGCAGATGCCCATGGCAGAAGCAGGGTGCAGGGAGGTAGCATAGACTGAGGGGTCGGCACCCTGGGCAGAGAGGAACCCCACCCAAAATCCCACGAAGGGCCCCTTATGAAGTCGGAGGTCAGTGAGCCATGCAGGAGACCGTCCATGTGATGGGGCCATCGTGGCGGCGCCCACAGCCCGAGGTCCCACTCCCAGGCACGTGCCCAGGGCACACACAGGTGTGGAGCACGCATGGCTTACAGTGACCAGCAGAAGAAACGCAGGTGTCCATCCACAGCAATACGGTGTTACAGGCAGGGGGGTATGGGGTGCCAGCAATGTACTTTTTTTTTTTTTTTGCTTTTCGGGTCACACCCGGCGAAGCTCAGGGTTAACTCCTGGCTCTGCACTCAGGAAGTAACTCCTGGCAGTGCTCAGGGGACCATATGGGATGCTGAAAATCGAACCCAGGTCGGCCGCATGCAAGGCAAACGCCCTCCCCGCTGTGCTATCGCTCCAGCCCCCCAGCAATGTACTTTTTGGGAAATAATAAAACTTAAGAAGAGGGGCTGGAGCGATAGTACAGCGGGGAGGGCGTTTGCCTTGCACGCAGCTGACCCAGGTTTGATTCCCAGCATCCCATATGGTCCCCTGAGCATCGCCAGGAGTGATTCCTGAGTGCAGAGCCAGGAGTAACCCCTGTGCATCGCCGGTGTGACCCAAAAAGAAAAAAAAAAAAACTTAAGAAGAGATCACCTAGCCTCAAGTAGCCCAAAGGCATGAAGTCCATATACCTTTGTAAAATCCCGACTCATTGGAGGAAAAACTGAGGGGGTAGCCAAAATCAGTAATCCAAGGCCTGCCCAGAGAAGGTGAACCCCTCAGAAAAGAAGAAGCTACAGGGGGCTGGAGCGATAGCACAGCGGGTAGGGCATTTGCCTTGCACGCAGCCAACCCAGGTTTGATTCCCAGCATCCCATATGGTCCCCTGAGCACCGCCAGGAGTAACTCCTGAATGCAAAGCCAGGGGTAACCCCTGTGCATCGCCCAGTGTGATCCAAAAAGAAAAAAAAAAAGAAAGGAAAAGAAGCAGCTACAGAAGAACCGTAAGATTAAGACACCACAACAACACAAGGATGAGATTACCAGAAGACCATTAACAGTGCAGACTTTTCCGTGACAATCCCCAGGTTAATTTAACATATGCACAACTTGAAAAAAAAAAACATTTATAAAGGGGGCCGAAGCGACAGTACAGTGGATCAGGTGCTTGCCTATATTGTACATGGCCGACACGGCATCCCATATGGTCCCCCATGCACTGCCAGAGAGCAGAGTCAGGAGTAAACCCGGAGCACCGCAGGGTGTGGCCCAAAAATGAAGAAAAAAAGAATTGTATAAAAGTACCTCCCCAAAGAGATTTGGGACTTGCTGTTCAAGCCTGTGTTCTCCCGGAATGCAGGTCTCACTTGCTTGTCTCTGCCTCTTGGCTTGCTTTTTCCGCTCTGGAGAAGCGTGTTCTCCTTCCTCCTTTCTCTCCTTTCACATCTAAGTAAGTTTCGTTCAATAAAAACTATCTTGCTTATACAGAAGAGCATTCTGCCTGTGGGCCAGGCTTGTGTGGTGGTGGGAAACTTCGAAATAATGGTGGTGGGAAGGTGTAATAGTGGTGGGATTGGTGTTGAAATATTGAATGTAATCAATTATTATGAACAACTTTATGAAAATAAATTTTTTAAATAAATTAAAAAACTATCTTTGGGGCTGGAGCAATAGCACAGCGGGTAGGGCGTTTGCCTTGCACGCGGCCGACCCGGGTTTGATTCCCAGCATCCCATATGGTCCCCCTGAGCACCGCAAGGGATGAGTTCTGAGTGCAGGAACAGGAGTAACCCCTGTGCATCACCGAGTGTGACCCAAAAAGCAAAAAAAAAAAAAAAATCAACTATCTTGCTTCACTACTTTGCCTCTTCCTGGAGTTCTTTTCTGCAAGGGAGGGTGACAGGTCCAGATGCCTGTGCTGAGGTTAGGACTAGCTGACTTTCCTGTAGAGTACCTATTCGCAAGCCCAAGCTCATGGCTCCTGAGAAATCAGGCTGCAGGGACCGTCTCAGCATCTGCAGAGCAAGGCCTCCAGGCGCAGACAAGTGACTGTGCCATGGAGACTCCGCCAGTTCTGACCCGGGCAGGCTGCCTGTGGGGGCAGGGAGGAGGGAGCAGAGATGGGGAGCACTCCTTCCTCTAAGAAACCCCCACTCCCCACTTTAGCAAGCCACTGGCAAGAATGGAAAAACATTGATCCACTCCCAGGGGAGCTCAACTAGACATCAAATACACTAGGATCTGTTTGTGTCAACACTTAGTACCTGAGACACACGCCCACTGGGGGCTTGGGTGAAGGTTCAGAGGATTAGTATATAAGCTTCGTCTGCAGGATGCCTACACCTGTCCCCAGCACCACATGGTCCCCTGAGCACAGAGCAAGGAGTAGTCCCAAAGCACCACCAAATGTGGCTCAAAAACAAACAGAAAGCATGTCAAATGGCATGTAAGCTGTAAAATTCAAGTCTGTGTCCAGTGTGTAGACAGACATACAGATATACTTGCAGAAAATGACACATCAAACAGCACTAAATGTTCTATTTGTTTGTTTTGGTTTGGGGTTTTTGCAGGGCTGGGGGTGGCACCCAGGGCCTCACACATGCAAGGGGGATCACCAGGCTACGGCCCAACACCCCCCCCCCCCCGACCTGTTCCATCTAGCAAGCGCACCTTCTTGGCACCATGCAAACAGGGCGACGGCTTGGCAGGGTGGTCTGCACTGTGCTCAGCAGCACCCAGCCCTGCCTCGCTCTATACCAGCTGCTCTCTCCATTTGCAACAGCCAGGAGTATGCACTGAGCCCGGAGCACAGTGTGCCCCCCCACAAAAAAAAAAATGTCTCCCAAGGGTGCCAAATGTCCCGGGGGGGCAGCAGTGCTAAGGCTGGCCTCCCTGCCTCCCAGAAGAGGAAAAGTTAGTTGGACACATCAGGATGTAGCTGACGGACTGTTTCGTAGGTAAGCAACAGCGGGTCAGCGGGGGAAAGGCACTTGGAAGCCAACCCAGCTTGCTCACAGCCAACCCCACAGGATTCCCGGTGCCCAGCCAGAAGTGGTCCCTGAACACAGTGCCTAAAGCAAGCCACAGCTGGGTGTGGCCCCACAACAAAAACAGAAGGAAAAGAATGGCAAATCTTGCTGCTGGACTTTAGAGGCCTAAAGGGCTGAAACAGAGGGTCTCTGCAAGGATTCAAGGAAGGATCTAGACTGTCAAAAGCCTCCCTCTCAGGGGTCCTGGGGAGACAGTATTCCTGACTTGTGCTCCCTCTCATGTCGCCCAGCCTTGCGTGGAAAACGAGCACTGCCAGCCTCACAATACTGCCGCTCGGAGGGACTCGGCCTGCCATCCAGCGGCTCTGCCCAGTGGGACCTGGGCAAGATTCCAGGATCAGGAGCCTGGCCCATGTGTCCCGTTCCCTCCCCTTCCCTCCCCCTCCCAGAACCGCCCCCCCCCCCCAGGGCAGGCCCCAGGCTCCTGAACCTGAGGCTGAACCAGCAGGCAGCAACTCTTCTGACTGACCAGAAGCAGCACTGTTGGCTCCTTTGGTCACCTGGCTTGGTGTCTGGGGGTCGCCCCAGCAGCGCTGGGAGGACCATGTGCTCCAGAAACCACAGGAACAAGTGTTCCACCTCTGAGCCACATCCCATCCCCAGAAACATGCAGGTTCCTCTGACTACAAGGTGCTGTCACCAGAAGTCTGACAGAGGTGGGTCTCAGGGAGGGATGATCTGGGGTCCTGCACCTAAGTAACCTTCCTGCCTCATGGGCAACACAAGGCCCTCGCAGAAAACTTCCCGCTTCTGTCTCTGTCCTTGTCTCTTAATCCCTGTCACCCACAGCCAAAGCTTGTCCCTCATCAGTTTAGTGGCCCTATAGTTCCAAAGGCAGTATTTCCTCTCAGAGAGCCTGGCAAGCTACCGAGAGTATCACGCCCACATGACAGAGCCTGGCAAGCTACCCATGGCATATTCGATTGCCAAAAACAGTAACAATAACGGGCCTCATTCCCCTGACCCTGAAAGAGACTCCAATACAGCAGTGTTGGGAAGGAGAAGTAAGGAGGGAGAGGCTGCTAAAAATCTCAGGACTGGGACAGAGAGATGTTACTGGCGCCTGCTCAAGCAAATCAATGAACAATGGGATGACAGTGACAGTGATAGTTCCAAAACTCCCTCAAGATGTCCCACAGCCTTCGGGATAGATCACTCAGACCCCTGCCAGCTCCTGCTACTTCTGGGCCTCCCACACACACACACAGCCACCCGCACACCCACACCACTCCCCCACACAGTGCCAGGCAGATGAACTCTGCCCCCTTGGCAAGACTGTGAGACCTTCCCTCCCCAACAGGCCACTCTGACATCCCTGCACCCCCCCCCCAAATATTATGCCTTCCTTCCACAGGCCTCCTTCGGAAGTTGGGGATGCTGGGGCCACACCCAGCAGTGCCCAGGGGACATGTGGTGCTGGGGACCTGAGCCAGGGTCAGACCGCGGCAGCCACATGCAGGCACGTGCCTCCCCTGCTGCACCATCTCTCCAGCCCCAGGATGCCTCTGACATGTTGGGTTGCCCTCGGTGGTGGCCCCACCAGACTCCTATTCAGCCCCAGGCCCAGGTGGAGAAAGAAGCCTCTCCTCGGTGGCACCTCCTTCCTACCCACCCACGCGTGGTCACCCCTTCAGGTCAATCCGTTGTCTT